AAGAGAGAGAGACAATTCACACTGAAGGTGGGGACGCGGCCGGCTCTCGCAGGACCCCGCAGTCCATCCCGAGCCCGCAGCCCCGCGCTCCCCGTGACGGCGCCCGCGGCCGGAGCGGGGCTGGGAGCGCGGGCGGAGCAGAGGCAGCCCCGGCGGGGCCATGGTGAGAGGCGGCGGGGGCTCGGAGCGGAGCGGCGGGTGCTGCGGGGCGCGGCGGGGGCTGCCCCGCTCGGCCGGGCGGTCGTGACCGCGGCGGCGCCTCCAGGGACTGATCGGCCCCAGCCCCGAGCGCACCGGGCATCATTTCGCGTGTTGGTCTGAGCCTCGGCAAGCAAGGAATATGAACAAGAAAACAAGGCGCTGGATCTTCCACATCTTCCTGAGCCTGGGGATTGTGTATATCAAGATCGGGTAAGTAACTTTTTTTTTTCTCTTTCTTTTATAACAATCGCGCTCTCTCGCGCGCTCAGCCCAACCTGCCCAGACCTGTTACTATTTAACTCGGGAAGTCTCAAAAAAAAAAAAAAAAAAAAAAAAAAAAAAAAAAAAAAAAAAAAAAAAGATGATGGTTGAGATCACGATTATTTCTCAAAAGATAGGTAAAGCGCCTGCATCTCGGAGCGACCCTCCACCTCCAGCGGGGCGAAGTGGCGGCCTCGCCAATGTGCGGGGCTGCGAGGGGCTGGACAGCGGTCCCTGTCGTTAGGGGACAGCCGGGGGGATCCTTCCCCAGCCCTGCCGGCGGTCCCCAGTACGGGGTGCCCCGGCCGCTCCCGCCGCTCCCGCCGGGTACCTGCGGGGACACCCCTCGGCTGCCGCCCGAGGAGACAACGCCGCCCGCCCCGAGAGGGGCGCAGGGAGAGTGGCGGCGCTCCGGTGCCGCAGCATCCCCGGCTCAGTGCCGCTCGTCCAGGTGTGATGGGCGCGGGAGGAGGCGGCGCGGCCCCGGGGCAGGGAGCGGGGGTTGTCCCCCTTCCTCCCCTCCTTCCCTCCCTCTCTCCTYTAACTGTTCCACAGGTTTGGGAAAACCCTCCCARCCCGTTGCCTGTGCGTGGCCCGGGCAGGCAGTGCCGCTGCATGCGCTTTAATTCACGAACGAGGAAGTTTGGTCCTGTTTTGGCAGGAGCCCACGCGCTGCTTATCTCTGCCTTGGCTTGGAGAGAGGGAGAGGGAAGCGACAGGGGGAAAGGCGGGTGTTTTCCGGGGGCACCTGCCAGTGCCGGGCGCTGCGGCACGGGAAGGCAGCGGGTGCTRCGTCTGCCTCCAGGACGAGCCTCCSYTCAGCCACCCCCGGTGTTTTGTCGTTGCAGGGGTTTCTCCTCTGTGGTGGCCCTGGGAGCCAGCATCATCTGTAACAAGATCCCGGGGCTCGCCCCCCGGCAGCGGGCGATCTGCCAGAGCAGGCCCGACGCGATCATTGTAATCGGGGAAGGGTCCCAGATGGGCATCAACGAGTGCCAGTTCCAGTTTCGCAACGGGCGCTGGAACTGCTCGGCCCTGGGCGAGAGGACCGTCTTCGGCAAGGAGCTCAAAGTGGGTACGTTGCTCTSGGCTCGCTGCTGCCCCGCGGCACCGGCGGGGGCACTCGGGGTGTCAGGGGCACGGCTGCCGGGTTTGGGGAAGAGCAGCTCCCGGCTCACAGCGGGGCAGGAGGGTCTCTGCGAGTGTGAGAACCTGGACACTGTTGCCGTCGTTACCAAAGCGGTCCCTCCTGGCAGGGGGGCACCTGCCTATGGTTCGCTTCCACAGTGTCAGCTTCCGCCGCAGTATTTCGCTGCCTTGCTCTCAGAAATCCTCTCCAAAGCGTTTCCCATTTGTGTGAACAGGACAGCAGCCTTATTCGTGTACTTAGGGATGGAAAACAAGGAGTTGGTTCTTGTTGAAGGCAGTGCTCAGAGGCAGAATGCTGAGCAGAGATGGAATTAAATTTCTGGGGTGCATGCACCTCCGCAGGGATGCTGGCCTGATGTTTGGACATGGTGGGACTCAGGCACAGCAATCAGTCKTGCTCTCAGAGGTCCTCACCACACAAAACAGCTCTCCTGGAGCAGCTGCATCCAGTGCCCTCTCTGCCACGAGAAAGAGTGGGTGTGCTCTGGTTTGAGATGTCAGGGCATTTACAAATGCTGTTCCAATAAATGACAGAAGGTCCCACTTTGTTTTTCCATGTTTTCAGTTACTGCAGCAGTACAAAATACATCAAAATTCTTAACTGAAGCAGCATTAATATTAACAAATGTAAATACCTAAAGAAATGGGGCTGAGGTGAAAACTCTCATGCCCCCATTCTGCAAAACTTAATAGTGGTGTTTTTTGATTCCGCAGAATTTAAAATGCAAAGACCAAGGAAAGTGTTTTCCAAATAAAGGTTCATCTTTTTTTTTAGAGCCACCTTTGAAAGCTAATCACTCACAGCATTCTGCATCCAGACGTTGAAGTTGTGATCWGTGGTTTCCAGTCTTGAGGTTTCTCTGTCTCTTCCCCATGTAAAATGAAATTGCAAAAACCCAGAAACCCCATCAAACAATGCTTAGCATGGTAGAAAACATGGATATTTCATGGACAGAAGGCAGCATAGAGAACAGGAGCTGGGAGAGCCCTCTGGATGGACTGGCCCCAGGCACTGCTCAGTCACATGGCAGGATGTGTTCCCAGTACCTCATTCCTGGCATTCCCATGAAATGCAGAGATGCCGCTCTGCTCTGGAACTCCTGAGAACACCGAGCGTGTATTTYATCCCATCTGATACATGCACTCTGATAGGAGCTTCCCAAAAYTTAGATATTTGAACAAAGATCAGGAAGAGAACAACATGACTCGGTTTGAAAGCCCCACCTTTGCTAATCAGAGTGGCTCAAGTAGACCTTGCACAGCATTGGGAAACATCTGAAAATGAACCATTTATTCAGATTAGCTCATGGTTTCTGTTCCTTGAGCTGAGCTCTTTCTGCCAGTGATGCTTGCAAGTGTTTGCCACTTATGTCAGTCAGTGAGGAGCCCATTTGGATGGCTGACAGATTTGGGCTCATTTAGTCTAAGACTAACATTTCCTTAAACAGAAAATGTGAGAAGGATTTTTTCTTCYCCAAGAAATCAGAAAATTGCAGAGTTGTTGTGGTCTGTTGTGTAAACATGCTCTCAGTTCCTTCCCTCCGTCTGAAAATTGAATTATTTAGCTAGCAGGTTATATTTAGGTCCTTTTAAAGAAAGTCAATATTAAAGGAAGTAGACTTTGATCTGTCTTTGAGGTGATAACTCTTAATATGTTCTATCTATCCATTACGAGGCTAAGATGGATAGGGAAAATTCTTCGTTGATTTCAGAACACAGTCAAGRGTTGAAACCATCCAAATGACAAAACTCCATAAAACTCATTTAAAGAACAAAAARACCTGCAAATTTAAACAATGCATGTAACAGGTTATACATGTTAATTGTAAAGTAAACTTTGGTAAAAATCACAGAAGGTCGAAATACAATGGGGAGTTTTTCTTTTGCACAGACATTCCTGCCRTCTCAAGTATAAAACTACTCAGGCTTTCAAACATCATAAAATATTTTAATGTAACTGTCCCTGTTCAGGTGGTCTCCTTGTTCTTCTGCTTCTTCTCCATCAGCAAGTATAGAAACCCTGAATATCTGACRCAGCTCATCTTACTATGGCTGTAAGGAAAAAGCATCTCTTGCTCTGTTCCAAGCATCTCTTGTCAGGGTGTGCTCCAGGTTACCATCCAGAGAAATAATATTTTGCTTTGGTTAAGAAARGTGCAACCTATGTGCCATAAAGCTGCAAGTCAGATTTGGTGCCCACAAACAGGAGATCAAGCCTGAGGGTCTTGTCCTAAATAGGAAAGAGACAGATGTGTAATTTGAGGGACCATATACCCCTACAGGAAGTGTTTGAAGGTGTCAGAGCACAAGAACAATCCAAGTTCCCATTAGGTGAAGATAACTTAGCCTCCTTGCTTTTTTGATTAGCCTTTGCCATGGTGTGTTACAAAATTCTATTTCAACAAAAACAGCTCCTCACTAGTCCCTTCTCCAGCATTTMACAGCTGGTTGTATTTTTCAGGCAGTTTCATCCTTAGATGTTACCTGGTGAGTGTGAGGGGCACCTTTGTCTTGCTGCTTGCAATGAGATCAGAGAGCTGTGCATGAGCTCATCCCCGTGTCTGGGAGCTGCCTCCGGAGCAGTGCTGATGGGCTGGCTCTGGGATTAGGATGTGACTTCAGAGTGACAGTAATGGGGCTGTCCTGGCCACGGCCCTGCCAGGCGTGTGCAGCCAGCAGCGGCTCCCATCAATCTGGGAGGATGTGCCTGAGTAATGCTTATGGAAATAGTCCATACAAATAAGTTCCCTTGGATACCAGAGATTCTTGTGATTTATTTCCCAGCCCACAGTTCTGATGGCACACCAAAGCAAATCTCTTCAAATGCAGGTTTCATTCCTTTTACCCTTGCTGGATAATCTATTTTATGAATGTTACACAAAAGTACTGTAATTATTTAAAATCTCTTATTGCTGGTAAGGGTGATTCTCCTCCTGGCCTTGCTGATGTGTGGCTGTGGGATCATGGCACTCTCTTCTGTGTTTCTCTTTTCCTRTGTTTAAAATGGCAGCAGGGACATTAACCTTACTCAAACACTCGTAACTCTCTAGAAGAAAGCATCAAACAGCATTTTCTCTTCTAAWCTGTAGCATGTGAGTATTTTTAAAAATCCACATATAATCTGTCTTCCAATKAAGTGGTAGTTTATTTGCAGGGTTTCAGTAGACAAGCATTTAAATTTATCCTAGAGCACATTTGTGATCACAGTCTTGAGCTTCCCGTTTGTCCTGGTGAGCCTCCCACCTGTGCCTAGCGCTCACTCTCCATCTGCAGGGTCTTTTGGTCTGGTTTGTCCTTCCCAAGGGAGATCCTGTCCTGTGACACCCCGTGGATAMTGCCCTGTGACACTGGTGACAGCAGAGCCGATGGCACGGGGAGGAATCACAGAGTGCCATCCCTGTGCCTCGCTGGGGACCCGGCCGTGGCAGGGACCGGGGAAGGCGCAGCCCCGATCCACACCGGGAGGTTTTTTTCCAGACGATTCCGTAGACACCTTATTAATAATGTAAGATCACAGAGAGAATTTTTAAAATAACCATGGAGATGATGCAACRCTGCAATTATGGACACACTTAAAAACAAATATATTTGCTATGGTGGTCAGCAGTTCTGTTCCCGACGATGGCCACAATCAAAACCAAGGATGTTAAAGCAGGACAGGCCAAAAACCTCCTGCCCATCTGTCTTCAGGTGAAATGTGGTTCAAGCTTAAGGATCTGAACAACCAGACATGACTTTGATAGGAAATGAAAATCAGATTTGGGCTCTGCTGGACCAGAGGAAGAGCAAGAGCTGTGGCAAAGGCTTTTTGTCAGGTGCCTCAGTGCCTGTTTGGCAGGGCGTGATCTTGTGAGTGGGTGCTCAGCAGGAACTTCGCTATTATCCCAAAGAACTGCCTTGGAATATTCCCATATTTCATGGGATCTAGAGGACAGCACCACATGGCATCACAGGGCAAAATAAAACTCATCTCCTTTTGCCACAAGTGATCAGCACTGCCACAGCTAAATGAGCCAAGARATGGTACAAACTGACTGCCCTTCTACAGAGGGTCACAGCCAAGTGGAGACTCTCCTCAGGAGGGATCTGAGAGAACAGAGGCACCACRGCCCTGCAGAGGCTGCAAGGACCCTGTGAGGGTGAGGATGGAGGGGATCCCAAGGGCTGTGAGTGGTGGTCTGCAAAGAACTACAGCAAGACTGGTTTCAGCCAAGTCTTCATCTTGGTCTTACWAAATTGCAGTAATTCTTCACTGTCTTGCACCCTGGAAAATGCTCCAGTATAATCACATTGATACTTTCATCCACCTGGCATTACTCATGGGAATAAGGAAAGCTGAAATGAAAACAAGAACCCACATGGACAAACTGGTCCCAAAGCTGTTGAGCCCAGCTCAGCACCTCTGTTCCTGGTGCCTGATGCGTCTGGCTCAGGGATCATCCCAGCTGTGCCTTGATACATCAAAGCAGGAGAGCTGCTGCCTTTCCTTTRTTCACTGCACTGTTGGCTCTACCCTGCACTGAATGTGGCAGTGCTTTGTTTTCCAGATATAGAAATCAAGTTTTCTTCTACGGCTTCAAACAGCACAAGGCAAAGGGACATTCYCACTTCTGCCTCTGGAAACAAATGTCAACTGTCCTACAAGACAAACCCTTAACTAACTTGATCAGAAGATGTCAGSAACAGTTCTCTTGCTGTATGGAAAAGAGAAGATCCAGGACATTTTCCTCTCTGGTAGATTTATCAGAGAAATTAACAGGAAAGTTATGAGTAAATCTTCATATTGTCACTCTGTCATAGACAAACACTTCTGCCAGCATCCAGGTTGTACAGGTGCATTGAAGAACAGATTTAATCTTCAATCATTTCATGGAGCATTTTGATATTAAACACTGCTGTAGTCTCTCATGTCAGGTTTTAAAGTCT